GCGTTGTATCTTGACCCTTGCTCATGGCACTCTCTCTGCTTCCTGGAGGGCATGAACAGAGCAGTGTTCACCCATCACTGCCTTTTACCATGATATTCTGCCTTATCTCAGGCCCAGAGCAATGGAGCTGGCCAACTATGAACTGAACTCTGAAACCATTGAGTCCAAAACAAAATTTTCATCCTCTAAATTGTTTTTGTCAGGTATCTTGGTCATAGTGTCACAAAATCGACTAACATATAAATGTAATGCTCAATTTGAATTGTCAACTTGATTGGATTAAGAGGCTTCTGTGTGTGTCAATGAGGGTGTGTCTAGGAATGATTGGCATGTGGGATAGTAAACTGAAGTGGAGACCCTCCCTAAGCATGGGCAGCACCATCCAATAATTGGATAGTGGCTTGGATGAAAGAAAAGTTGGAAGAACAAGGAGCAGTAGCAGATGCAAACTCAATTCTTGAACAGGTTCTTGATTGCTGATGTGATCACCTAAGGATATTGGACTCTCATTTCTTCGCTCTTCCAAAGCGGACTCTGCCAGTCATTCTCCAGGGAGTGTTTCCAGAAGTCTTTGGACTAGGGTAGCACAATTGATTCCTCTTGTTCTGGGGCTTCAGTCTCTCAGACTGTGCAGCTACTGGTTCTTCCAGCTCTCCAGCCTGCAGATGGCCATTATGGATTATCCAGCTTCTGGTTGCATAAGACAATCTAATACATCATCTTTTTATAATCATATTTCCTGTTGATTCTAGAGAACTCTGACTAATACACACATGTATGTTAATGTGACTCAAGAAAACTATCTCCAAAAACGTAATTAAAAATAAAGGTAAACTCAGCCAGTGGATCCGTTACTTCTATGCTGATCATCTATTACAGCTAAAAGAGCAAAACGGCATTAGCCTCTACCCATCCCCACCATAACCATCACTGCCCTATCAATACTGGTCCAGTCTTCACCCTCTGTGCTTTATCACCTCAATTCCACAGAACTTCCGCATATTATGTGTCATTATTTTTCATCAAGAGGCTGTACAAAAGTCACTCCCTGTTGAAATATTTCCTCAATCTCCATGCTCATGTTAGCATAGAGTAAGCAATTAATTAGTAATTGTTGATAATGACTAATAAATATGGACACCTTAGCCCCACTCACTGATAGTGCTTGCCAGTTTATTTAACAAGTATTTACTGTGCTAGGAAGTCCCCATTTTCCCAAGGTTCACACTTCACTAAAGATAGAGGACGCTATGTGTCTGGTACACAGGGGATTGAACGACAATAACATCAACCTGGAGCAAAGAACACAGGAAGCCAGGATAAGAAAAAGTCTTTGAATTTTCTGGAAGGGGAAGAGAAGAGAATGGGAGAGTAGGGTTGGAAGGCAGGGCTTCCAGAAGATAGGATGCTAGGACTGCAGTGTGAGTAGGTTGCCTGCTCAAGGTGCATGCAGGGATCCTTGGGAGAGAGGTTAACCAGGGCCAGAGGGCACATGACACATTCAGGGCAGGAAGAAGCTAGTGGCACACAGGGAGGAGTGGGGAAAATAGAACTGAAAAAAAGGATAGGATGAGATCCCTTATTGGAGCCTCCACTGACTCCCCAGAGTGAATCCTCCATAGCATTCCAGGAAATTACATCAACCCAGCCACCCAGCAGATGGCGACAAGGGCTGGAGGTGGGAGGAAAGAGAAGCTCCCACTATAGGGAGAAATAAACCTACCCTTGGCACTGTCTATAAGAAACGCTGCACAGGCAATTCTCTTCAAAAGGCCAGTCCAGAGGTTGAGGGAGTAGCTCAGTTGTAGAGTTCTTGACTAACATGCATAAGCCCTGGATTTGATCCCCAGTACTGGGGGGGAAAAAAAGGCTAACCCAGACCATCCTGACCTCTCTAGCCAGCAGCTGAGCAGTGAATTCTGATTATTCTGATTAAGTATATCAGAGAAGGCTCTTTAGACAGGACTTCTGTGAAAACAAAGGTGTTCGAATGCTTAGCCTATGGACAAGCACCTGTGTCCAGCCCTTTCACTATAGAACAAAGTGGTTTCATTGGAAACAATGCACTTTACTTTCTGGTTAGAATTTCTTTGTATATGCATATACCAGCTGTTGGTGAGACTCTGGTTTGAAAGCTCTTGAGAGCTGCAGGTCTCCAACGGCAGAGGAGCAGGGCATCGAAAGAGGTGTTAACAGGTGGCACATGCCTGTAGTCCCAGCAGCTTGGGAGGATGAGGCAGGAGAATTGCAGATTCAAAGCCAGCCTCAGCAGCTTAGTGAGACCTTGTCTCAAAATAAAAAATAACAAGGGTGGGGATGTGGCTCACTGGTAAAGCCCCTGGGCTCAATCCCTGGTACCAAAATTTTTTAAAAAAATTTTAATGGCCTCAATGTGTCAAGAAATACTGCTTCTCCAATTGAATGCTTTGACAGCATTCTCCAGCACAGAAGCAAACACCCTGGTCTCTGCTCTCTAAGGAAAGTGGACAGTCATGAGTCTCTTGGTGTCTCTAGATGAGTATTACAAGCAACTGTCACCATTACACCCTACTCACTGACCAGCAGAGATATGTGAAATAGGTGCCAAAACCTACCTGTAGTTCTGTTTTATCTCTAAGCCTCAGAGCACAAAAATGGATAGTTTTAAAAGTTTACATTAATACTATGACCTGCTATAAGCAGGTCAGGGGAACATAGCAAAATGTAAAGCTCTATCTATATGGTAATTTTTGTTGTTGTTAATCAAGATCACTGATATGATTACATTAGGAAAAAAGTACCACTGTCTAATAAAAATGATGAACCAAGAGCTAAGTAAGGTGAGTCCTTTCATCACATAGAAACTGAGCACTAGAAGAAAATGTTAGGCTTTCTGAATTTATGACTAATAAATGTCCAAAATTAAAAAAGAAAAACTATTAAAGTGTGGTGGAAAGCAAATATTGCTGCCACCCTAGCCATCTACAGTTGTCAGTTTCTTGTGTATCATGTAGGAAACAGACTATGCATAAGAGACATGAGCGTGTATATACATATACATACATTTATATACATATATATATATATATATATATATATATATATATATATATGGATTTATAATACAGTATAATTGGTAGCATACCATACCACAGTTCTAACCTTGGTTTTTTTCTTTCTCTTATTTTTTGAACCCCAACATTATTTATAACTATAATGCACTATTAAAAAAGAAATGCAATAAGCAGATTATGTCTTTTAAAAGTTACCCTTTGCCATTTCCAATGCTTTGGTTTTAAACTGATTCTCTTCTTAGGCAACTTTATTCTACAATCCATCATTTCAAACGTGTATGGGTCTATATTGAGGATAAATTCTTTTTTTTTTTCCCTTCTGGTACTGGGGATTGAACCCAGGAACACTTTCCTACTGAGCTACACCCCCAGCCCTTTTTAATTTTATTTTGAGACATGGTGTTGTTAAGTTTCCCAAGCTGGCCTTGAACTTGCAATCGTCTTGCTTCAGCCTCCCAAATAGTGAAATTATAGGCATGCACCATTGTGCCAGGCAATTCAGCCTTTTAAATGTATCAGTTCATCTAGTATGATAGTAATCTATAAGGCAGGCATTACTATGATTCCTATTTCTCAGAAGTAAAAATTAAGGCACAAAGAAGTTATAGAATTTGTCCAAGATCACATAGCTCATGATGGTACAGCTGGCATGCAAATCAAGAGTCTATTGTAAACCTATCATTTCCAATAGAAGATTTATTTGTTGTTTTCTAACTTTTTGAGTTGGATCCTTAATTCATTTGACTTTCAAGACATGTCATCTATTAATTTAAATGATTTAAACTTTGGATTTTCCTTTGAGCCTTGTTTTAGCTACATCCCATAAGTTTTGAATTCTATAGCTCACTATGATTCTCCTTTTACTGTTAGAAATTTGTATTATGTTAAACATTTTTAATATTTTAATATTAAATATTCATATTTTAATATAGATGAACACAAGGAGAATTAACATTTTTACAATATTGAGATTTTCCATCCAGGAACTTGCCATTTTTAAAATGTAAAATAATACATTTATTTATCTGTATTTTATATGTAAAAGCTTTTATTTTAATAAATTTACTTCTATTATGATTTCTAACCATTGTTGTTAGAATATATGAAAACCATAGATATTTGTGTAATTCTGGACTGTGCCTTAAATGAATTCTCTCAGTTCTAATAGTTTTCAGTTTGTTTTCTTGGATTCTCCACCTATTCTTTTTCTTGCTAATATCTATATTTATATAAAGATATTCATATACCATATTATATAAATTAATATGTTTTCACATAACATATATGAACATATATAACATATACCAAAAAATTAAGTAACTGTGAATTTATATTCTTTCTAATTTGTTTTACAGGGGTGCTTTTTTACTGAAATTTTCTTTGGGTGGGAAATATAGTGATATGGTAGCAGAAAAAGCTCTATCTTTACAAAATATTTCCTAATATCCAACTTAAATGCTTTCTGGCTTAATAATTTAAACATTTTGGTTATAACCCTAACCCTAACCCTAACCCTAAACCCTAAACCCTAAACCCTAAACCTAACCCTAACCCTAACCCTAAACCCTAAACCCTAACCCTAACCCTGCTGGGCTCAGGGGCACACACCTGTAATCCCAGTAACTTGGGAGGCTGAGGTAGGAAGATTGCAAGTTCAAGGCCAGTTTGGGCAACTTCAGTGAGATTCTATCTTAAAATTGAAAAATAAAAAGGGCTGGGGATGTAGCTCAGAGTGCTCCTGGGCTCAATTCCCAGCAAAACACACACACACACACACACACACACACAGTAGTACATATATCTTAAAGAAAATCTGGAACCTAGAGAGAAACATGGAATTTTTTTTTTTAAATTTAAGTAAATTAATAACCTGGCATTTGGGGCAGTGATCCACTGTGGTAGTCTTCCTGCCTCCTTCTGTACACCCAATGCATCCGCGGTGCCTACCTGGTTCCCCTGAGCCATTGCTGTTCCTCTCACTCTCCCCATCTTCCTGGCCGTCTGCGTTCTGCTGTGTGTGCTGTAGGCTCAGCTTGTGACAGACCTCAAAGGCTTGCCCCACCGTCCGGACGATTCGCATAGCTTGACTCTGGGGAAGAGGAAGGAAAAGGACGAGTGAAGGCTATGGGGACTTTACAAGGACACAAGAAGGGGTGCGGGTGGGTGGGAAGTGCAAGGGGCATGTGATCAAAAACCCAGGAAACCAGCAAAGGAAAGAGATGGAAAATCCTAGGGTTGTTCAGATGTGTACATATTCAGAAAGAAGAGTACAAAAATACTTTCCCTTCTTGAAATACTCCAGAAAATAGAAACTGTCGCCACAGTTTTGAAACAATCAATCAACCAAAAGGACATATGCTGAGAATTATACCAATTCTAGACTTAGCCCCAACTCTTTCCTTCTAAGTATAACCATATTAATCAATATGCTTCAACATCATTAATAGGCCCATCAAACTGAGAGGAACTCAGCTGTTTCTTTCTCCAGATGTCAGATTTCCTAGGAGCTCTATAGACCTAGGGCTGTGATGCTCTGGGCTTGGAAGCCTTGGCCTAACAACAGAGTCAACTGACACTTTGCTAACTAAGGCCAAGGTGAGCTTTCCCAGGCTTACTCTAATAAGATATTGCTCACTTGGATGGCTATTTTCTCCTGTTTTATTGTTTAACTTCTTCTTTTAGGAGCCAAAGAAGAGAACTAGCCCCTGACTCCCAGTGTCCCACTGCTTAACTAGGAGAGGAGGGGAGAGGACAAAGAAACCTGTTCCCAGAGTCTTTGGCAACACCTAAAGGCAGTGAGGAAGAGGCACAGGCAGGGTTCTCAGGACAGGGTCTCAAAGGTGGATCACTTACTATAATCTGATGACTAGTCACCTTTCAATCTTCTTTCAAGGAGTAAAAATGAGAGAACTATGAGATACGGAGTTTCAGAGCTCAGGCTGGGAATGCTCCACATGCTCTTACCCCAGTGGCTCTCAAATATTCCACCACAAACTTCAGATTATATCACTGTGATTGTCACCCAATAACCCAGCCTAACATCAATCATGTTTGGGGTGATCTGACTTTAGATTAGTTGTGACTACCTGATGATACCATACAGTCCACTGATCACATTTGAAACCCCCAAGGTAACATCAGAAGTCAAAAATAACTTTTTTGTGCAGGGGTGGGGGTACTGAGGATTGAATGGAGTGCTTAACCACTGAGTCCATCTCCAGCCCTTTTTTATATTTTAGAGACAGGGTCTTGCAGAATTTCTTAGGGCCTTGCTAAGTTGCTTTGAACACACAATTCTCCTGTCTCGGCTGAGCCACTTGTAATCCCAAGCCAGTGGGATTACCACTGTGTCCGGCAAGAGGAGCCTCTTAAAAACATGAGGTAATTGGTATTGCAGTACTAACTTGCTACCCAGTGTTTTGATAAATTTATAGAACCTGTTTAAGGGTAAATAAATGATTCATTTATGTTTGTCATAATAATGAGATTTGTTCCTGTTTCTCATTGTTATCTTCATGAATTCCTCAGGCCTTGGAACACCACATATGGACTGCTGCTTGAATCCAGTCTCTGCTAAACTTGTTACCCTTGCTTGTTTCCTCAGGCCTGGGGAAACATTCCTTCCCTTTACTTCAGGCCAAAACATTCCCGTTAATATGGAAAGGCATTAGGTCAATCATTGTCCACACGTCATTTTAAGATCTCCGTCTTCTTCTAGTCCTCTTTATACTCCCCAACTCAAACAACCTCCTAGCAGTGACTGCCTTACAATTTAATCCTCTTAGCTTGCTTGGGCATGGTGTTACACAACTATAATACCAGCAATGTGGAAGGCTGAGGCAGGAGGATCCCAAATTTGAGGCCAGGCTTCAGCAACTTTGTGAGACTATCTCAAAACTTAAAAAGCTAGAGATGATGTGTCTTGTTGGTAAAGCCCATCTGGGTTCAATCCCCAATACCAAGAGATGGGGGACAAACCCTCTTACCTCAAAAATGTTTTTTTGTTGTTTGTTTGTTTGTGGTGATAGGAATCAAACCCAGAGCCTTATACATGTGAGGCAAACATTCTATCACTGAGCCACATTCCCAGCCCTAGACAGATATTTTTAATTGATCACTCAGTTAAGAGACATGGGTGATGGGAAACTTAAGTGAAACAGGAGACAGGTAAGTTCCCTGAGGTCCCTCATTACCTGGTGGTGGATCAGAACCTCTGCTCTCTGTGTTCACCCTTAATTCCCTCCTGGGTCCAAAGGGTAGGCCTAGGCCCCTTCTAAAACCACAGGCTTGCAGTATCTGAGACACAACTATTCTTTCTGCACAGGAAGTTGAAAATCAGTAGGCACCAGTACTAAGCAAGGTGTCCCTGCTCTTCCAATTCCCAAACATGGGAACAGGTGTGATTTGGAGGACATGATGCCTAACAAGCTAGGCCAGGCAAACCCCAGCTTCTACATCTCCTTTGGACACCAAGCTGAGCCCTAGTTAGGAGGCTGGGCCAGGAAGCTCAACTCTCTGATGGAAAAGAAGACGCTGGTCCACCCAAAAGTGTTATTCACACACATCTAACCAGATCTTTGGTCCCTTACTCCTTTTATCAGAAGATGATAAATCCTAATCTTTTACAGGAAAGCTTATTACTAGTATCAAGTAATGTCTCCTCTGCCACACAGAGGAATCAATATGTAGATATATGATGGCATCTCCCACAGGGATAGGCATATAGTAAGTGTTAAAGAAATGCTTTATTCTGAATATGTAATTCACTGCAATAAAAAGCAATTAAAACACAAAATAAAAGGTAGTTGAGGAAAGGCCAGGATTATTTTACTAATTACAGAAGCGTAAAGATCCTAAGGGAATCACTTCTTCCATACATATGCTGGCATCAAAAGGGTGAGTGCCACCATCTCCCTCCTTCCCAACAGCATCTGAGGAGAACTCCTGGGTCCACTGTATCTTGGGTTTGAACTGGTACAATGGTTTCTGTGTAGGAGGGTATTGTTGGACGTGACTTCTAGGCTTGCACATTCAGTGCCAAATGGTTTCATTTCAACTTCTACTTTTCGTTGATGCGAAGGCTGTTGTCATTCACAGTAAAAGGACACAGTAGAGTGTTCTGTGAGATATCTCTGCACTTGAAGAGGCTACTGGGTGAATAATCAAACTACCTGCTTTACAGAATGACGAACACACATAAAAGAACCTCCCTCTTCATTTATCACTCTAGGAGTCAGAAGGGGCTGGAGGACTCCTAACTTGATCCTTAAATGGCTACATGAGTTTAAATGCCCCTTGACTTTCTAGGCTCTCCTTCCTTCACCAGTGAAAAGTCTATTTTTAGAGGTTTTACGCGAGAATCTTATTATGGAAAGCAATTACTTGAAGGTGGTGGGTTTGGTGATCTGCCCCTGGCAGGGGCTGGCCTTCTTACATTTGCTCTCTGCACAGCCCTGTGGGCTCCTGATGCTAGGTCTTCCGCACTTGGTGATGCTGCTTTCTGATTTTCTAGGCTAGAAAACTGACTCTGCCTTATACCCTGGAAGGCAGGAGTCACATGTGCTGGGAATTAATAGTTAATAAGCCATGTTTGGACTTGAGGGAGAACTCTGATAAAGAGAAGCTTTAAAAACAACTTTCAGATATTTCTGTGACTACTTGTTTTTTTAGGTTACCTTGTTCTCATGGAAGCAGTTGCTCACATCTCGTGACCATATGCAGGCCTTTGGAAATCAAAGTGGAGGTTTAAAGATTGAAATTTAAGATAACCAGGGAAAAAGCTGAACTACAAGTGGATTGTTAGGAAGGCAGCCTTTGCCAGTTTCAAGATCTGGCCACTCTGGAATTTAACAGATTATTATTATTTTTATTAAAGCATCATTATACTGTAGTATACTGCATGTAATTTTTGTACAAATCCAGATTAGTTTTATATAAGCCCTGGAAAGTGCTTTGCCACATGGATCAAATCTTTCTGTTCAAAAGCCATTTTCTATTAGTAGCCCCAAAGCATGAGTGGGCTTTTAGTTACCGAGATTAGTCTGGAGACGGTTGCTTTGATGTTTCCAAAGCTGGAAAGGAATATCTAACCTCAGAGTGACTCTTAGCTGCAGATGGAGAGCACTGAAGCTCATGGGAGCACCAATTACAGGCAATTTTGTAAAAATAGGGATGGAAAGGAAGCTGTCTTAGAACTTTATTCAACTAACTCTCACCATGTTTCTCACGGTGTTTCTTTAAATTATCTTCCTGTTCATGTTGACAAGATCCCCTTCTCTCCCATACCCAGGATATCCCACAACCCAGGACAGAAACCAAGTCAAGATGCAATGGCTATCAATTGGATACCAAGCCTACTATGGATACCAAATGGATACATAGCCGGCATCAAAATTTGATGAATTGCTGCAATGAACACAAAAACAATACCATATTTGCAGTGAGAGTGAGTTGTCTACTCAAAAATAGTCAAAAGCTTACAGTAGTAGCTTTAAGAACATGAAAGTCAAAAGGTTGCTTCCTGTACTTCACCAGTCCATAGAAAAATTATAGTAGTTGGGCACAGTAGTGCGCATCTGTAGTCCCAGCTACTTGGAAGGCTAAGGCAGGAGGGTCACTTAAACCCAGAAGTTTGAGATCAGCCTGGGCAACACAGTAGGACCCTGCTTCAAAAAAAATCAGACAGTGTTTTTTGTTCTCATTCTAAGTAACCCTGTTGGTCCTACAAACTTGGGAATCTTGTAAGTGCTATATACATGTTATAGAATAGTTATTACTAGGGCAGTAGCTCAGTGGTAGAGCACTTGCCTAGCATGCATGAGATCCCGGGCTTGAACCTCAGCATCACACACACACACACACACACACAATGGTTATTACTAGTCTTTATCTTTGGCTGATGTAATAAATCATCTTGGGCATTTTTCTGAATTTCACTATCCTGAAAAAAGCTCTCTATTTCACAACTTTTTGGAGATGATTAAAAAAGTCATCAGATAAGCAAGGAAATTAGAAAATAAAAGCACAAAATACAAGGTGTAAATGAAGATGAAGATCATGATTGCGATGACAATAGGCAAGGAAAAAGAA